AATCCCACTACAATAAGGAGTTGGGAAATTTTCTTTGAATTCTATTCAAACAAGGAGATAGCAATTTTGTTTATTCATTCCTACGTTAGGAATCCTGCTACATTAAGGAATTGTCAAGTCAATACCTAGTAGGAAGTGTTAGAACTAATTTGTCTTTCCTGCATTCTGTTTCAATCGAATTTCCATTTTTTTCTTTCTTTTTTCTTTTAATTCATTCCGGTTTGTTTCTTTTATTGCTTTTCTTGTTGGTTCCTTCGTGTCTTTTGTTTCTTTCAACTCTTGTTGTAGATTTGTTGGAGTTAGATTGCTGCAAAATAACTTGAATTGAGCTTGTTTAGTTCAATAATGAACTGAAAGAGGGAAGTTGAGTGAGGGAAAAGGCAAGAGGTGTGAGCAACATTTGAGAGAAAAGCCAAGTTCTACAGTGTGCGAAACACGAGTGTTAAGTGCCATTCTATGAGAGAATGGAGTGAAACACATAAGGGAGTGTTGTGAGATCCTTTTATTTTCTATTTCTAACATTCCTTTCAGGTTTCAATCATGTCAAGCGGTGATGATAGAAAACACCAAGTGGAAGATTCCTTCATGCTGAAAGCTATGCAACAACAATTTCAAAGGCTAGACATCATGTTTGGTGAAATTAAAGACAAAATGGAAAAGCAAGATGCAGCCATTGCCAAGTTATACCGAATAAAGAATGGAAGTCCAAATTTGCATAATCACGATCTTGCTGACAATGATGAAGATGCATTCAACGATGATGCCCAGAACTCGAATTTCAGCATGGACAGATTTATGAGAGGTAGAGGGGGTTAAAGATATAGATTTAACAAAGAAGACCAAAATCTGGCAAGGTGGGGAGATCAGCAAGATCATGACTTAGGCAGCATCAAGATGAAGATTCCTCCATTTCAAGGCAAAAATGATCCAGATGTGTATTTGGAGTGGGAAAAGGAGGTGGAATTGGTGTTTGATTGCCATAACTATTCTGAGGAGAAAAAGGTGAAACTAGCAGCGGTGGAATTTACTGATTACACTGTGGTGTGGTGGGATCAGCTTGTGCTTAGTCGACGTAGAAATCGAGAGCGTTCTGTTGACACTTGGGAAGAGATGAAGGTTGTGATGAGAAAACGGTTTGTTCCTAATCACTACTACCGCGATCTCTATCAACAATTACAAGGCCTTACTCAAGGGTCCAGAAGCGTTGAGGATTATCATAAGGAGATGGAAATCGCAATGGTTAGAGCGAATGTCGAAAAGGATAGAGAAGCAACAATAGCACGGTTTCTACATGGTTTAAATCGTGATATAGCTAATGTGGTGGAACTGCAGCATTATGTTGAATTAGAGGATATGGTGCACATGGCAATGAAAGTAGAAAGGCAACTCAAGTGTAAAGGTGCCACCACCAGAGCTGGGCAAAATCCAGGTTCCTCATTTTCTTCGAAACCAAATTGGAGCAAAAAGGAAGAAAAGTCTGCTTACAGCATCTAAGTCAAAAGACGTTGGCAGCAATGAGAAGAGTAAAACTGATAGTATGCAAGGCAGAAACTGAGACATTAAGTGTTTTCGATGCTTGGGAAGAGGGCATATTGCATCGCAATGCCCTAATAAGCACATGATAATCTTGAAAGAGGATGGAGAAATTGAAACAAAGGGTGAATCTGATGATGACTCTATGCCACCATTGGAAGATGCTGATGATGGCATGGAATATGCTATTGATGGAGAACTGCTTGTCACTAAGCGTGCTTTGAATGTGCAAGCCAAAGAAGATGATGAAGTACAACGCGACAATATATTTCACACGAGGTGCCATATCAAAAATAAGGTATGTAGTGTGATTATTGATGGTGGCAATTGCACTAATGTAGCTAGCATTGTTTTGGTTGAAAAGCTTAATTTACCTATGAAGAAGCATCCAAGGTCATGTAAGCTGCAATGGTTAAATTATTGTGGAGAAATTAAGGTAAATAAGCAAGTTCTGGTTTCATTCTCTATCGGACGGTATGAGGATAAGGTATTGTGCGACATGGTTCCCATGCATGCTGGACATTTACTTTTGGGGAGACCATGGCAATATGATAGGAGAGTAACACATGATGGCTTCAAAAATCGCTATTC